CACCGCCACTATCCTCACCGACGGAGCCTCCGCTCTCGGGGTCTCCTCGCCCTGATACGCATCCGCGAGAGCTCGCACGTTCGCTTGGATTCGCCGGCGATTGCCGAAAGGGGCTAGGGTTTTACAGCGACCGCTGAAGAAATTGGAGGGATTGGTCTTCTCCGTTCGCTGAATTGGGAGAAATGGGGTTTTGAAACGGAGCGGGGTTGTCGAGATTGAAATTGTTGCGGCCATTTTTTTTTTTCGTGGGATTGGGGATTGATGATGGTTTTCTTGATTTTCAACGGACAAGAAGAGACGAAGAGTTTTGTTTGGGCTTTGCTTTGCTTTGCTTTGCTTGGTGCTTTGCTGGAAGTCGCTGGACTCTTCAAGTAGTTTGTTACCTGTGTGCTTGGGTTTTGAGTAGGGGTGCAAACTGGTCCGGATTTATCCGGACCGACCGCAACCGTATCTGTTTAGAAAGCGGATATGGTAAGGAAAAATTGAAACCGGTCGGATATGGTTTCGGATACGGTTACAGTTTAGATTTTTTATCCGAATATGGTTCGGATACGGTTATCGGGTCGAAATTGCGAATACGGTCCGGATATCCGGATATTTGAAATGGGCTATATATATATATAAATTATAACATATATTGGGTTGGGTCAAACTCAAAATCCACAACCCGACCCGTTTAAAACTCAAAAAAACCTCCCAGACCCCAACCGATTCCCAAACCCTAAGCCCTAAACCCGATCCTCCGCCTCCCCAATTCCCGAAAGTCGAAACCCTAAGCTGGGCTCCGCCTCCTCCGCCGCGTCGGGCTCCGCCTTCTCCGCCGCGTCGGGATCCGCCTCCAAGCTCCGCAACCAGCTCCGCAACCAGCTCCACGTCCTCCTCCGCATCGAGCTCCGCCTCCGAGCTTCGCAACCAGCTCCGCGTCCTCTTCCGCATCTAGCTCCGCCTCCGATCTCCGCAACCAGCTCCACGTCCTCCTCCGCATCGAGCTCCGCCTCCGAGCTTCGCAACCAGCTCCGCGTCCTCTTCGGCATCTAGCTCCGCCTCCAATCTCCGCAACCAGCAACCAGCTCCGCTCCTCCTCCACGTCGAGCTCCGCATCCCTCCGTCGTTCAAAGCCTACAGTAACAGAAGTTACAGAACCCTTCGCCTTCACCCTCAATTTGGTATAATTCAAAACCCTAAGCCCTAATTTTTTTGTGCCCTAATTTCTAGCATTTGTTGAGTGATTTGAAAAACCCACAGTTCAAGCATTTGTTGTAATTTGCATCATTATATTTTTTGTTTGATTAAGTTCATAAATTTCAATGAATAGGTATTAGAATCATGTCGTCTAATCCATCAGTTCAAGCTTCTAACGAAGAACCCACAGTTGAACCGGCCACTGAACCCGCAATAGCAGAGTCTTCTAATAAAACAGAGGAAAAAGCTGAGAAAAAGGGGGGGAAATTAACTTCTAACGTATGGTTAGACTTTGAGAAAATTGATAGAGTTGAAAAGAAAATTGTCGATGGGAAAGAAGTTGAAATAAAAATCAAGAGAGCGAAATGTAAACATTGCTTGTTTGAATGTGATGGACGTAGTTCAAGAGGGACTACACACATTAGAAATCACATTATGAAGTGCCCCAAAAAGAAGAGACCCGGTATTAGTCAACAATTGATTCAAGCTACTATAAAAAATGAAGATGGGACTTGTGCACTTAGTAATTATCATTTTGACAATGAGAAGAGTCAAACTTTACTTGCAAAAGCTATCATCGTCCATGAGTATCCTTTTAACTTGGTCACACATGACTTCTTTCTACAATATGTGCAATCTCTTCGTCCAAATCACAAGGTTCCAAGTCGTGCACAAATCACAAAGTTATGTATGAAAGTTTATGATGAATATAAAAAATCTTTATTTGATTTGTTTGCCACATCTTCCATAAGGTTGAGCTTGACAATGGATAAATGGACATCATCTTCACAAAATTTGGCATATTTGTGCATTACCGCTCACTATGTTGATGAATCTTGGAAACTTCAAAAACGTATTATTGGTTTCATTAAAGTCCATAACTCCACGGGGAAGGATATATGCAATGTTTTAATCACTCGTTTACTTGATTGGAAAGTTGATAATAAAGTTTTGTCAATTACGGTAGATAATGATAAAGCTAATGATGTTGCCGTTAAAATTGGGAAAGAACGTCTTAAAAAGTATCTACCTTGTGGCGGAATCTTTTTTCATGTGAGATGTGGAGCACATATTATAAATCTTATTGTTCAAGAGGGGCTTAAAATTATCACTAAAGCTATTGAAAAAGTAAGGCTTAGTGTTAAATATGTTACATGTTCACCGAAGATGGAAGAGAATTTTTATCATGTTGCGAAGCAAGTGAATGTGGTTGGAGAAAAATGCTTAGCACTTGATTGTTGCACAAGATGGAATTCTACTTATTTAATGTTGATGAATGCTTTAAAGTACAAAGTTGCTTTTAATAGATTTGAACTTAGCGACGACAAATACATTCATTGTCCATCGGAGGAAGAATGGAATTATATTGATACTTTGAGTAAATGTTTGAAACACTTTTATGATGCAACTATTCTCCTTTCCGGTAGTATGTAGATGATACAATTGTGGCAATGGCTTTTGCAATGAAAAGAAAATTTGATAAATATTGGAGCATGTGCAATAAGATTTTTGCGGTGGCTACTTTTCTTGATCCGATGTACAAAATGATTGCAATAAAATATTACTTTAAGGAGATTTATGGCATGGATGGTGAAAGGTGTACACTTGAAATTTTAGATGTCATCAAAAAGTTACATAGAGAGTATGCATCTCTTGATGAAAAGCAATCCAAAAATGATGAAAATGCTTCAAGCTCACAAGCAAAGGAAGTAGAAAGAGTTGGTGACAAAAGAAAATCTAGATTTGCACAATTGTTGAAACTATTGAGAAAGAGCCTACAAAGACGGATTTGGATTTATATATGGAAGAGAGTATTGTCCGATGCGAAGATGAAACAACGAGGAAATTTGATATATTAGATTGGTGGAAATCAAGTCTTGGAAGGTATCTTATACTAGCAAAAGTTGCAAGAGATGTTTTGGGTATACTGGCTTCAACCGTGGCTTCCGAGTCGGCTTTTAGCACCGGGGGGCGTGTGATTCATTGTTATAGACGTCGAATGACAACGGATACGATAGAGGCGTTGATATGTACACAAGATTGGATTAAAGCAGAGAAAGGAGGTAAATTTATAAATTTTGCATAGATTCTGTTATATTTGGTTAATTGTACATTAAATGATTGTATGTTTTATTCTAATAATTTTTTTGTAGTTACAAAAGTGCAAATTATGAATGATGATGCTCTTGATGTGGTTAAGCTTTCGGATCACAACGACTCGGAGATTGCCGAAACATTTATAAAAGCACCCATAGGTTTGTTATTTAACTTCATAAGCATATGATTTGAAATTTATAAATTTTCACATATTTAACATGACAATTGCTCTTTTCATTTTTTCAAGGTGACATCGTGGAGGTCCTTGACTCGGATGATGAGATTTGATATTTCTCTTGCATTGATGGGTCTCATCTTTTGGTTTATATTTTCTTCTCAAGAATATGATTGTCTTAGTTTGCATGCTTTTTTGCTTAGGGAACTATATTATAGAACTTGTGGGTTTTTAATATATTGTATGTGACTTTGCTCATGTTAAGTTTGTATGTGACTTTATTTCCGGATTTGTGGCTTGTTATTTATGGATTTGTGACTTGTTGTTTCTGGATTTGTGACTATTATTTTTCGAATTATGACTTTATTGCGTGTTTTTTGTCAAGAACATTGTGATTTCATTTTATTTTCCTATCCGACAATGGATTCACATATCAATGAAGTTTAATGTTCTGGAGATGTATCTTGATTTCTCGGGTGGAGATTCCTTTCTCCAAAACCCCCGATTTATTATTCTTCCAGCTTTGATCAACTCTGGATCTCTTCAAGTTTTGAAGCTGGCAAAATGTAATATACCCGATGCAGATTCTATGGCTCTTGGGAATGATGATGCTCTTGATGTGGTTAAGCTTTCGGATCACAACGACTCGGAGATTGCCGAAACATTTATAAAAGCACCCATAGGTTTTTTATTTAACTTCATAAGCATATGATTATCACATTTTAGTTATGGTATTCAATATTTTTTATTTTTTGTTTAGGGCCTTCTATGGTGTTCTGAAGTTTGTCATACAAAATAACAACAAAGTCTATGAGGTAACTTGTTTTACTTGTTTACTTTGCGAGTTATTAAAATCATATATATTTTTTGTCATATCCTAGTCATATCTATTTCCCAAATATCCGTTTAGTATCCGTATCCGAACCGTATCCGTCTCTCTAATATCCGAACCATATCCGTTTCCGTTTAATGCGGATATGGTAATGTTTTTTTCTTACCGATGAATATCCGAACCGTATCCGTATCCGTTTTTAGAAAGTGGTTATGGTTATGGTAATGGTCATATCCGAGCCGTATCCGAACTGAATGCACCCCTAGTTTTGAGGCAAGAGCAGAAATGATTAGTCACTGTCTTAATTACAATTATTACATTTTGTTATGTTCTTGAAAAAATCATACAGATATTATTAAGATGATAAACACAATATCCATATCTTACAAAATGGACAAATTTTCAAAACAGACCACTTTAGGTTTTTATTTGTAAAAAACGACCGGTTTTGAAAAAAATTGTAAAAACCGACTTGTTTTCAGCCAGGCGCTGAAAACAGGTCAGTTTCTGTTAATATTTTTACGAAAAGTTTAGTGTATTTTTAAACTTCATGGGAGTTGAACTCCTGTGAAGTTTAATTCCTTCATAAATCTTCACGGGAGTTCAACTCCCGTGAAGATTTATGACATTCTCACAACGCCCCCAGCTACGTGAAGTTCGCGTGGAGTTGGGGCTAAAACTCCACAGGAGTTGAACTC